ATTTATTTTTTTTTGATTTGAAGACCGTATGGCATCTATAGTCTTTGCATTCCAAGTTAAGATTTTGGTTGAAATGTAGTATGTCATAGTTATATTTTAAATCATTTTTTCTCTGACAGAAAAAATATCTGGTTTTAACTATGATTAACATCATCGTCATTTCCATTATTAGTGTTTCAATATTCCTTGGAAAAAATCCATAAATCTTAGACTTAAGCCACGGCTACCACGAGATGTTTTACTTGAAGCAGTTGAAGCTCATGAAAAGTTCGTGCATTTCTAAACTTAATTAATTAACTTTAAAATATTGTAAAATCATTGTAAAATCATYGTAAAAATACTTGGCGTGTTGAAACAATTATATTAATACATTTTTWAAAAAAAAACTATGATTTAATTAAAAAACAATTTCCAAGTAATTTAATATATATCTTACATTCTTAAAATAAATAATTTAAACACATTTACAACGTTTAAATATTTTAAGAGTATAAAGAAATATAGGTACCATTTTAAAGTTGCAAAATATATTATTTTTACACAAAGTATTAATGAGAAATATACTATAAAATAATTAATTAGAAATCAGGAATAAAAAAATGTTTCATTTTATTCTTCGAAATTGTAGAAATGATTCTTGAGTGAACTATTTAAAACAATCATAATATGAGATTTTAAAATTAGAATAAATTGGATAACAAAATAAATTAAATTACTATAATGTAATTCAAATATTATACTCTCATAATAGCTGTTATGACTTAATGTTATTTTCATGAAATATAATGATGTTAATTTGTAATTATATAAATCAATAGAATGAAAATTACAATCACATAACATGTTGTATTATATGTATTTTTTGGCAGAACATATTGTTGTATAAATAAAAGTATATATGAAAGATGGCGAATATAATGCAGACAAGTTTATTATTATTATTATTTTTTTTGTATTTTAATTCTATTAAAAATATATATAAGTTCTATTTTTGATTTTACATTAAACACACTCCGTAGTTGACTCACTTATTTACATTGTTTAATTTGGTACAATAATTTAATAAATAAAAATAAAAATATGATTTAGAACTTTCGTTCCCCAAATCTTAATGACAAATATTTCATAACAATACACCGTAAAAATAAGTTTACTGCTGGCAAAAAAAATGCACAACAGCATACTTACATATTATTGTACCTACTTCACCATAATATAAGTACGACTAAGCGAATAAGCGATATACATGAATTTTAAATAAGGCGAATCGATACGACACGTACGAATTTAATAACTATAGGTAGGTATATAATATAATAGAAAAAAGTATATTTTTACCCTTAAGGTATTGCGATATTATTAGAGTAGTCAAAATTGTTTGAAAAAAATACAACTGTGATAAGACTCATAAATCATAATATATCGGCTACGATTTGGCTAGTTTTTATTTTTGTAATTCGTTATAATATTATGTAAACCGTGCATACACGTTCGGACAATTAATCGAATCAAAGTATATAGTTATTTGGTTATAAATAACAATTAACTACTTAACGCAATATAATTATCGAGAAGAAGAACTAATCAAACTACTGAAACAAAATAATTGTACCTTGATATAATTAATATATAGTTTATAGGGCTTGAGAAAGGGTCGACAACCACCTCATCATCCCCGCCCGAAAATCAGGGACGACGACAAAAGTAACATGTTGTTGTTGTGTGACATCGAATTTTGGGTCAAACCACAGACGAGTGGTGACGGGGTATTTGAGTGGTTTTTGGGTTCACAGACTCCGTGCGATCGTGTGTAATAACAAAGCTGAGAATATACCTAAGACGGGCTGCGTGGTCACGGGGGCGGCGCCGTCGGGCTGGGGCGACAGCAGTTGTTCAACGCCTTTGATGGTCCCGTCAGTCGGTCGGCTCGGTTCGGCTAGGCCCGCGATCCGGCCGATCAGCGGGTAAAGGTCCACGTTGTTGAACTGCACGGCCGAATAATTCTTCTTGAACGCCGGGCCGGAAGCCATAAAGATGGCTCGCATCAGTGGTTCCTCGTTGTCGTACCCGTGCACTCCAACTTTGAATTTTTCCTTGGCTGAAACACGATTAGATCAGTTGTTAGGTACAATGATAAACGATCAAGTAATAACGGTACGGTCATTTTTTTTAACCATAGCACATTGTTCATCGCAAAGATTCGTTAATTCAAACAAATGTATTGATAAATTCCATTCGAATATGTCTGTTAAATATTGAAGTATACCTGTATAATTTATATTTGCTAATGCATTTTAATGTACAAGTAGTGTAAAATATTTATAAGAAAATATCATCACTCGAGCAAGAATAAGCCTCTCTCANTCGAAAAAATAAAAACGATATTTCACAGACAAAATTCTCCTTTTTATGTGGTGAAAATTTCGTTTCTTAGTTATAACTGTATCTTTCTCGGTTCTTTCCCGCGCGAAACAGTTTTTGCAATGTTACGCACTTGTAAGACGRAKACAACACATGCGGGTGTAGCGTCCTCTTAAGAAACAAGTTACAAACAATGATTATGTTATGTTTATTTATAWATCAGTACCCAATAACAAGTTTTAATATTTTTAGACAAAAATTTGTAATGTTAAGTATCGACAACAGTTATAACAACGATAAGACTTTGTTGGTCACCTCCAGTCATAGGTCGGTTTATACTTATTTCATAACATGATATTTCATACAACTTGTATTTATCTTTTAGACGTACGCCATGACAAATTTGTGTTCACAGTTCTTTTTTTTTTTTGGTGTAGCAAGTTTTTATTAGAATGAATTGACTTATCATCAAACTTAAAGATAAGAAAATTATCTGTGTTTTCGCATGAGTTCTATGCGAATATTTACATTTTTTCTGAGATATATCTTATATATGAGAATTTTTAAATTATAATATTGTACATACGCATACTTGTATAAATTGGATAAAGATTAAAATACCATGAAAACCCATGAGTTAAATGTTGAAGTATTAAGATTGTTTTTAACCTATTAAAGCACTATAATAACCCATTATACATTATAACAGTTCAACGGTGTTGAACTATTGACTATATAAGCCCTGCTGTGTGCGGATGTGCGGAACCAYCGCAATCGAGGTCTGCGAAAAAACATATCGTTTGGCCTAGGCCTAGTTGAGTTTTTAATGATAATAATAGACAGTAATATTATTTATTTATTTTTATCATAAATTATTATTTTATAATAAATGGAATTTTTATTTGAAC